GATTTTATTAGAGGTAGGAACAATTCTTGATGATGTTTCAAATGTTTTATTTGAAAGAAGTTACGAAGGACTCAACAATGATCAAATAATGTGGTGGTCTTCTTGTCTTTGTATAAGATACTATCAATAGCTAAGAGGACCTATCAACCATCTTCAAAGAGAACAAAGATCATAGTATGTAGCAAATATAATTTGTCATATCTTAGATTTCTTCAATATATAAAGACCGCTCTTCATAGAACTTGTCCGTAGATGAAGGAATAATATCATGGATATACATAAGTAGTCTAGTAAATACCTATATGATTAAGTAGAAGTAGATAAAAGTAGATAAAATTTCATAATACCTTCTAGAAAAGCTTTCTAAAAACTTCACAAACGTTGCTTTGACTTTACATATATTTTTAGTTGATTAATAAGTTAGAAACTTAATCAAGAAGTTAATCACATGTTGGTAGCTTGCAAAACAAGCTAATTATGTGGTGCATATATAAAAAAAACTTTCTTTATAAGTTAAGATATGTATATTATAAAATCAACATGTTTTGGAGGTCCTATAGAACATCACCACATAGCTCCTAATTAAGAGTATATATGGAGGCAAGAATGAAGCTTTCTTCACTCTTATCAACACTGTCGTGTTATAATAAAACTATATGGTGAAAGATAATAATATGGATCTTATTATAGAAGATCCAAGTTAAAAAATAAAGTAGAAAAATATGGATAAAAGATACAAAGGTAGTAAAACTTTTAGTAGTAATACTACCTTTTTAGAAAAGTGACTTCTACTTACTTTATATGGCCATAAATAAGGCAAAGCAAAATAGATTATAAAAATAAATAATATAGGCATCTTTAAAAAAAAATTAAGACTAAGTTCTAGCAAAAATTACCTAAAAAAACTAAATATTGATACCCGGAGAGGGACAATTACGAACCAAGGTCAAAATCAGACCCCAAGGCACAAAACCAAGCCTCAATAATGATTTTGGGATTCTTTGACAAATTGAAGAGTGGATTTAGAGAAAAAAATTGATAGAGTTTTGATAGGCATTAATTTGAGATGATTTGGATTTGTATTGACTTTGCAAGAGCTTTGCAAAGTCAAGGTTTGTTTTACATGACTCTGGATTTGTGAAATAAAAAGGGAGATATCTTTTAAAGATTTCGTAAGTTTGGCAATAGATCCATGGGTGAAATTTTAAAGATTTGTGGGTTTATATGTGTTTAATATATGCTGTGAATTTGAGCTTGATTCAAGGATTGGATCGAGGATTATTGAGGTTTAAGTGGGTTAGGATCTCAAAAAGTAGAGTTTTAGATTAAGTGAGAGTTTTTAAGATTTTTTACAATCTATTAATTGGATTGGAGTGAAAATTATGTATGCAGGTAGTAGATTTATTTTTTTATATATGAGAGAAATTTAAGATCAATTAAATGGTTTAATAAGGAGATATTGGCACTAGAAATTCAACATTCAGATTAGAGAATGAGGTTGGCCAACATCCAAGCAAATATTTGGGTTGATCTTCTTTTTGTGAGTTTGATCTTCCTCAAAAAATTTGTGCTTGTTTTCAACTTAATTTTTAAGACGTATGCAAATTTTGAGTTAAAATCAATGGTTCATTCATTATATATTAAGGTTTAAATCTGCTATAAGAATTACTTGGGATTATTTAGGATTTGGTTAGAAAACTTTTAGGGATCTATTAGGATATGGTTAAGGTTTATTTAGGTTTTGTTTAGGATTTGGTTAAGATTCAGTTAGGATTTGACTAGGATTTAGTTAAGGTTTTGTTTAGGATTTGTTTAAAATTTGGTTAGGATTTGACTAGGATTTAGTTAAGGTTTTGTTTAGGATTTGTTTAAGATTCGGTTAAGATTTGACTAGGATTTAGTTAATGTTTGTTTAGGATTTGATTAGGATTTGCTTACAATTTGGTTAGGATTTATTTAGGATTTGTTTAGGATTTAGTTAGGATTTGTTTAGAATTTAATTAGGATTTGTTTAGGATTTGACTAGGATTTGTTCAAGATTTGGTTAGGATTTAATTAGGCTTTTTTTAGGATTTATTTAGGATTTATTTAGGATTTATTTAGGATTTATTTAGGTTTTAATTAAGATTTGACTAGGATTTGATTAAAATTTAATTAAATTTTGACTAAGATTTAATTAAGATTTCTATTTTAATGTTTTATTAAAGTTTCTATTTTAGTATATTTTTAAATTTCTATATTATTTCTTTATGATTCTTTAAAGGATCTTTAGGAATACATTGTATTTCTTACATAATTCCTTTGGAATTTTGATTGAATTTGATTGATGTTTGATCATATTTGCTAATCTTTAATTGTAATTTGTTTAAGAATCTATTAGAGTTGTTAGGATTTGTTATTGCAATTTTCTTTTTATCTTCCAGAGCTAGGTGCTTGGTGCATTCTCAAGCCAAATGCCATGTAATAAGACAATGTCTTTCTAGTCCTTAGTCTTATTTCAAGACTTTCCAATCTTCTTATTTTTGGCATTAAGAATATATTGAGGATTTTCTAGTTCAATATTATATCATCTTTAAGTAACTTTCTAATTCTTTTTAGTGACACAAGAATATATTGAGGATTTTCTTTTTTTAAGATTCATATCCTTGACAATTACAAATGTTTTATTTGAAAGAAGTTATAAAGGCCTCAATAATGATCAATCAACAAGGTGGTCTTTTTGCCTTAGAATTGGATATTGATGGCTAAAAAGACCTATCAACTACCTTCAAAAGAAACAACAATCAGAGTATGTGGCAAATACAATTTATCACATCTAAAACTTCCTCAACATGTGATTACGACTCCTTGTAGAACTTGTACCTAAAAAAAGAAGTAATGTTATAAATATACCTATAGTTATTTAGTTAATATGAATGGATAGTGGATAAAAATAAGCTAATTTGATTATATCTTATAGAAAAGTTTTTTAGAAGCTTCATAGATGTAATTTTACCTTTATACATATTTATAGGTGATTGGTAGATTTCAAACTTGGCCAACAAGTTAGCCATGTGTCACATATATTGATAGCTTGTGGTACAAACTATTAATGTACCATACTTGTAGGAAACTTGCATTGTAAGTTAAAACACATATTTTAAAAATTGGACACATGTTGGAGGTCTTGTAGAACGTTGCCATATAGTACTTAGGTAGATAGTATATATGGAGGCAAGAGTGAAGTCTTCTTCACTCTTGTCAACTCCTTTTTTGCTTCTAGTCTAGTTTCAAGAGTCTCTAGTTTTTTAGCCTTTTATAATAATCATTCCAATTTCTTTCTAAATATATTTACTTTCTTTTTTTAAATTTGTCATCTTTCTTTGATTCATTTTTTACTTATTTATGTATCTTCTTTGAGTTCTTATCCTTGATATCTTGTCACAAGTTATCTTATTAAGAATTTCATTATAAAAATTAAAAATATTTATGTCATATTTTATTAAATTAATTTTTTATATAAGTGTTAATAAAATAAATTATGAAAAAAACTCAAAAAGATGAGTAAAGCTTGGATTTGTTTAGGATTAACAAAGGTAGATGATTCATTTTTAATAACTTAAGCATCTCAACATATTTGCAATAAGTGTAAAAATAGAATAAAATACTTTCATGTATGAAATAAAAATGATGAAGATTCTAAGTGTTTTCACACAATTTGGTCGAAAAATAGAATTTATATAAATATTTTAGTTGAAGATTCTCTTTGATCCATTTCTAACATATAGGCCAACCTAATTCCAATTTGCGGTGGATTACAAAACTGAGAATCCAACTTTTACAAAAGCAAGAAGTATGGCACCTAATTATACTATAATTCTACCCCAACCAATCAACAACTACCACCTATTGCTAACTCATGCATACCCATTCAAAGTATAATAAATTTTGTTTATTGCTTATAATTTAACATCATTTTAACCAATCTCCAACCTATTTCCAATTAATGTAGATGTCAAACCTAGTCATTGGAATAATGGAAATAACACACTCTTTACATTAGAGATGGGAGATGGTCAACAATAGATTGGCTACCTTAAATGCTAAATATAATGTGATCTACCCACTTTAGAAGGAAGATACATAATATTTGAGTATCTATTCTATATGGCCATCTGTCTTTTCATGAAAACATTTGATATTAGAATTCAATTGGAAGTATTTTAATGAAAAAAAATAAAACAATATGTATCAAATATTATTTCAGTATAAAAAATGTTCATGTTTTCACCCATATAGTTTTATATTTTTGAACACAATTGGAAGACATTACAAGCTTATTATGCATCATCAAACTTGTAATTTAGTCAAGATTTACACACAAAAAGATGAATTATATATAATGTTGTTTCATATATGTATGTATTTATTATTATTTTAAGTGTGCATTAATTAGGCATACTGATCACAGAAAAGAAGCATGAAAGAAATTAGTATGCTAAGTATTACTAAATAACAAAAAAAAAACAAAACAAAACAAAAAAATATCATGTCTCTTGAAAACATCATGAAATTAATTTGAAGAAGTGTTAGAAATTTATTTTGCTAATATGAGTAAATGAATTCTTTACAACAGTGTTTAATGATTTCATAGATCAATTCAAATAGCTCATATAGTTCATGCAAACCATCGAAATAAATTCACTTGTATTTATGTTATACTTATTTAAAACCACTTTCATGATGGAATTTTCGGACTTATATCATTCTAATTAACAGATCTGCCTGTAAACAATTAATGCGGTAAAGCCCATTTTATTTTTTAAAGGAAAAACAGCAAACTTCAGTAAGTCTGTAAAAGTATTCCAAAATATAAATGAAATTTATCTGTTACAACATCTCCAAACAATTTCGATTGGTTGGAATATTTTTATTTGTGTACATACATGCATACACCCACAACTCAAATACATGATACATTTTTAACAAACATCGATAGTCACCACCACATCAACCCATTCTACCACTCAAACCTACACTGATTTCATTGTTGATACCATTTGAACTTGTGAGTTGAATTACAAACTGTCATATACTACAAAACAAAAGGCCCTATATCTAGTGACTTCCTCTTGCCTAACAGAAGAAAGATCTCTTTGAAAACCTCTGCTTTCTTTCCATCCAGTGCAGAGCCCAACAACTAAAAAATACTTCAAAAAGTTGCAAAGCATGTACAGTTTCCTTTGTACACGCATTGTGTTACAACCCTCAAGCAAAACTGGGAGTGAGGATGATGTGACCACAAACTTAAACTCCACCCAGTTCATGTAACTAAGTAACGTTGGGAATGAGGCAGATAACGTAACAGTGTGGCAAAAGAAAAAAGAAAAAAAAAAAAAAAAAAAAAAAAAAAAAAAAACCAATTCTGAACTTGGTCGCCACAAAGCAAACCTTCCTCTCAACAAGCATTGCCTATATATATGTATATATACCTAAATACTGCAAAACTGGGCCCAAATTGAAGAGTACCTGGATGGGTGCGGCACGGTGTGAAGCTAAGCAAGGATAGTCTTCCCGAGGATGAAGAGAGTAGAAGAGAAGGTGACGCCGAAGATCATGTAGAGGAAACCTCGGTCCAGCACAAAGCCATACAGAGATATACCAGCACGGGAGAATTGTAGATATGTAACCAGGGCCTGCCTCTTCTGGAACGCTTCCAAGTCATGGGCAAGCTCCTGCTCGAACGTGAGCTGGTTGGTGATCTCCAAATCCTCGGAGGATGAGCCTTTGTTGAGCAAAGGGTGAGCAGGGCCATACACATTTCCTTTAAGATTATCAGATGCGGATCGCATGATTGTGCTTGGGCAGCAAGTCGCCAGTGCATGCCATTTGCTCACGGCCGCTACAATGTGTTGAGCTTTGTGTGTGATCTTCGCTGCTCCCTGCAGGCAAAGCATTAAGCCCGTCAGCTGCACCAAAGAGCATACTGCTAAATCTCCAGCTCGGAAGAAATTGATCTGCTTCGCAGATAAGAGGATTTCGAACAGGGATGAGAGCTGGCTGAAGACTATGGTGAAGAGCGCGAATATCAGGAACAAGCGAAATCTGTGGCTGATTGTTGTGAGCTGGGCCCGGATTCTCATGTGCTCCTTGAGGATGATGGCCACCTCAGATGTAGTCTCTAAGAGCTTGTTGTAGCCCTTGAGCCTCAGCACCTGAAGGGAGCACATGAGCCTGAAAAGGACGCACATGAAGAGAAAGACGCTGGTTCTGTACAGCCATGAAATCACGGCCGCCCCGAATAGAATCACGTTGACCCTTGGGACATCCGCGAGGTATGGGAATGAAACGGTGACGTAGGAATACCACCAGCCTCTGTGCGCTATTGCAATCAAGAATGTTGGGAAGAGCATTCCCGCGAGTATGGAGAAGGAATTCTTCAGCTTCTCCTCGTAACCTAGCTGCACTTCCTCAGACTCTTTCACGATCTTGTCCAGCAGGAGCGTCCTCCGCAATCCGTAGGTACGTAAGATGTGCGAGAGAGAGAGGAACGACACGGCGGCGAGGACGCTCTCGGATATTTGGACCAACTTCTCGAAGGGATGCTGATGGGATTCGTCACACGTCTCGCAAGACACGAATGTGAAATTGAATATGGGCACCAGTGCCGCAAGTGCAACGAAAACAAACCCGGACCAAATGACTTTGATGGTGGAGGACTGATCCAGCCCTAACCATGCAAGACCCGACCGAAATTGCCTCAACTCATCCCTAGGGTTTGACAACGTTCTCTTGTATTTGTTGCTAAGCTTGGCCCGCTTCTCTATGACTTCATGATCCAATTCCTCTTCGGAATCGTGAGGGTGAAAGTTCACTTTCGGCGATCTTCCAAGCAAGGGAGCTTCCACGTCCGCGCGAGAAGAACCTCCCTGAGGAGCAACTTCGTGCGCGTTCCTCATGGATATGCACTTCACGCCTCACTACTCGCGCTCAAATGAATTACACCTGTGCCAAACCTCACGCGACGCAATGACCTTCACACACCCCCCCCCCCTCCCCCCCCCTCGCCCCCGAACACACACACGCTCTACAACGTCAAAAAATAAAATCACAACGCAGAGCTAATCTCAACAGCACCCTGCTACTCACAGGATCGCTTCCTCTCACAATCCACTGTCGCTACTGCGAGACCAATCCACCGAGCGAAAAACATCCAATGCGACGCTTCTTATGCGCGATGGCGACTAATGTGAGAAGGTCACTCACAGAACGGGAGCAAAACCCGCTCCGAAAACCAAAATTCAAACCTCGAATCTCTCAAATCGTCTCTTCCGGCAACGTGTTGTGCCCTTCAATCTCTCAGCTCATTCACTCGGCACAACAATTCGACGTCGCGAAACCTCGACGGCGAAATGCGTCACCCTCACTCCAGCACTTCCCAACCCACAGTTTCACTTCGCCTACTCTGCATTCAGCGATCAAACGTCGCCCGCGTTGGATATATATTACCACGCACGTCAACAACCCCTGACAAAACCCCTATCAACGCGCCGAACCCAGCTCCCACAATTCAAGATTGGATTGCCCATCAGCGACTCGGATCCATTCGCCAACAACCCGACTCGTTAAAGCTCGCAAGCCCCTCAAATATCGGCCTGCTCTTCAGATCCCGGGTCGCCCCACGCCACGAAATCACGGGCCCCTTCATCGGCCTTAAATCCAACCCCCCACCCCATATAACGAGATGATCCTTCCAGTGAATGTTGGATTAAGGTCACCTTTAATTTTTTTAAGTAGACCATGTGTTCTATCTAAGTGAACATACTTAGGAAGGTCATCGTTTCTTACGCACAGAATAATAACATGCGAAGCAGAATAGTGAAGGTGTATCAGTGTCAACACTTTTGTGTGCTTCAGTTTTAATGTGATGGGCATTTTCAAAAAGACAAGGTTAGGATTTAAACATTCCACGGACGGCGAGAATAGCAAGTGATTAACTTTCCCTCTCTAGAATCCCTACGCTTTGATCACGTTGGATGCCAGAAGAGCTTTTACTTTTTCAGTACCTTTTTGAATCAGAGATGCAGATTCAAGGAGTGGAGGGGGGGTATCTTTTCCTGTTGGAGTTTGCGCCGCAGCGTCCTTCTTGGGTCGATTTGTTTATTGGAGTAGATTCACTTTATCACCGAATTTACACACATTTATGTCTATTTTATAGTCCTAAAGACGTGGATAATCCACTCCCGAAGCACCCAACAAGTGTCGCAAGGAACAGAAAACAAATAAATATAGGCTACTTTCATAGACAAGTTTCAATACAGTCACGGGATCGAAACCCCACGAGGACCCATCACTGTGCAAGCTTTGGCAACAACCAATCCTTGGACGAGCCTTTTGGCCCAAATCACGGGTCCAAGCAGGGTGCCAGAGCACGGGTGCCAGTTGAGAGTGGGTAGTTCACAAGAGCTTTGTCAGATGAAATAAAGTAGAATATAATAACAATAATATGAAAAACGTTTAAAGAATCCGTGTTCGACAGTTCGGCCTCCTAATGCCGTGCACATGTGGCATGGCTACGTGCCCTATGAAGGTGGATAAACCCTTCCCCAGTGTATTAACAGCAATGTCCACGTGGGAAAAAATTTCCACGTCGGCGGAAATAGTAGCGCTAGCACAACTAACAATGCCGCAGGCGTTATGCCTCATAGCGTGGGATCCAGAGCTGAATGAGTTGGGGGCTCTTCGGGAGGCGCGCAGGCCACAGATTCTGGGTGGAATCAGTGGCCTTCGGTGCCACCAAACAATCCGCTTAGAATTCTCCTCTGCTCTCCAGTTTCGTTTTAGATTCAGCTCCTCTTTCTCCAAAATGGATGTCATCCATGACACGAACATTCCCTTCCGTAAGTGAAAAAAAAGGTTATGAATGTTGCACTGAGTGTGTAGTAGACAAGACTTGCGAAGGATAAACTTATTTACAATCATGGATTAGATTATTACGAATCTTTAAAGGATTATAGCAAACTCAAAAAACAAGGTTAGGGTTTAGGTTATAAATGGGTTCATATGTAGCCAGAGTTTACTTTAGGTCAAGCAAGCAATGAACTAACCACAAGAGCTTAGCAAATGAATGGCTTCTACATTTTAGAGAAGACAACATAGATCCACAAGAAAAGTAACCCATGACACAAATGTTTCATTTGTAGTGTAAGAAGGATGTAGTAAGAATTGAACTTATCCAACAAAGATAACACCAAGAAAGTCTCTACCACCAAGTTTAGTAAAACGTTGTGCAAGTTTTCTTGTTAAAACAAAGACGAGAGAGATTGAAGATAATATTAACATAACTTATGTAAAGATGTAGTTTTTCTCTAAACACCTCTAAAGAAAACAAAACAATTTGGAAAAAAGCACCATCAATTTCTTTAAAAGAATAGCTAATATTATCTAGTAACAAATTAACTAAAAACTAATCTATAAAAAATCTCAAAGAAACTCTTATTTTTTAATTTTAATTTTATACAATAGCATATATGTATTCTTTGTTATATATATATAAATATATATATATATATAATTTAATTTATAAATTTAAAATTTACAAATGGTATAATAGATTCCATTATAATATCAATATAGCTTATTGTTTATAGAGTATTGAAGTAATTTTGAAGATAAAATATCAAGTTACAAATAAATATAACAAATTTCATAAAATAATTTTGATTAAAATAAATTAGAAGAGAATATTTATGTTTAAATCATAAAACATACTAAATTAAAAATTAAAAAAATATTCTTATTCTAAAAAAATAAAATTACTGATATTTATAAATATATTATAGATTTAATAAAATTATTGTGAAGAGGAATTGAAACTACAATTACTTATAGTTTAAATTCATGAAGCAAGAAATTTGAGTTTTGAAGAATTTAAAGCAAATGACATGTAGAAAAGAAGATAAAAACTTTTAAAGCAATTATTAAAGTTCTTTTTCTAACATGATATTATATTTTGGATATAAATTTCTAAATAAAAAAAATAAAGGATTGAATTGGAATTTTCAATGTATTATCAAACAATTACCTATAAGTGGTTTTTCAAGTACTAAAACTGAGTTTCACTTTAGAATTTATAATAGTTAATATCTTGTTATAGCTATTAAATCTAAGTTTGTTTTAAATAGAGACATGGTCTTATGTTCTTTGTTAAGAAATAAAAACATCTTTTTTGTAAATTATATTAAAAAGAAAATACAATCCTCCAATAAATAATTTCCAATCAATATATGCACTGAAAAGACTTGTGTACATTGTCTAAGTTGTGCTTCCAGTAAAAAGAAACAATAACATTTGTAAAATCATAAGATTCTTTTATGGCTTGATAAATAAACATATCAATAAATCTTCTAATTTGATTTCTTAGTATTTAAATAGCAATTGTATGATAAACTAATGACCCTTATTTTAAAACTAAGTTGGAATTCGTTTAATTGAAGTTAAGAAGAATAGAACCTTACAAAGGTTAAACTAAATAGGACTCTAGAAAACAATTATCAATTCAATTGATAAAAAAAATGAATTAAATTTAATATATATATATATATGATTTAACATAAGAGTTTTTCTTCCCAATGCAAGTTATGTTTCCCACAAATACTAAAGATTATAATTCATAGCTTCTAAGCCAGTACACAAAGCAAGAAAAACATGGACTTGACAAAATAAAAACAAGTTATATTTCCCACGAACAATAAAATAAATAAATAAATAAAAATAATTAGATTCTAAGCTTGCAAACAAGCAATAAATATATGGGACTTGACAACATTAAGTATACATGAAATGATGTTAAGATATCACAATTGAGGGGGAGGGGGGGACCATGGAAAACATTCTCAAGAGAACAAGCTATTTTTGAAGTCCAATCAGCCCTAATTCCAAAAGATTCAATTTTATCTAGTCCATTACAATGCGACCCCATATGTATGGTGCAACCAATCACCTTCCAACGTGGACCAAGTGGTGACATGGAGGCCAGCACTGCTTGTCACGTGATAATGCCACGTCAGAACGTCATTAAATAAGACAGATATCTGTTCCCACGTACCACAGAAAGTCAAAACAAAAAAAACAAAAAACAGGGAGCGGGTTCCGGGCACCCGCGCCCACGGAGGGTCTGTTGCCTTTCCCAGGCCGGGCCAACTCTCACCCGCGATTTGTTGACGATTGTTAGACGAAGTTCGGTAGATGACGTACACACAACAACAGAATTTCTTGCCACGTAGTACACGACGCGTTCTGTTTTGAAAGGGGGGAGGGTGCCATGTTATGGAACGGCGAGATTTTATTGAAGACTTTTTGGGTGATTATTAAATGCCTGAGATTCCATAGCAAAGTGCTTCCAATTAGGACTTTTTCCCAATCCAACAAACTTGTGTACAATTTCATTTTTATTATACGGTTGTGTACCATAGTTCTATATTTGTACATGGTACCCACCCACCATGTTCACCCTTTCGTAACATGCCTCAAGACATGCATCATTCATTTAGGGATAGTATTTATATTTGCACATAAAAATGGTAAATACTTATCATTGATTATTCAAATTCAAAACATTTGGTTTTACTATACATAAAAAAATTGTAGAAATGGTAAGTGATTATTGAGGATTAATCATGGTCGAAAGGTTTGTATGCATTCTTTACACATGTACAAATGGTGAATAATTATCATGAATTATTCATAACCAAAGGTGAACTATCTTTTGGAGCTTTTTGTACCCACACACACACAATTGGTTGATTTCTATATTTGTTAATAGCAATACCTATTTATTATTTGTGACAAATTAGGGTTTGGGTGATCATTTAAAAGCTCAAAATATCCCTGAAATGTAAAATTCTAGATCTTTATACATGATGTTGGGAACTAGCATTCCTACAAATGGTGCTTAGACCATTAAGTCTGAAATTTGCACGCTTTGGTTGTTCGGTCCAATGATATGTGCACAATTTTAATTTGACGTACAGAATATCTGTTCAAACAAATAAAAATA